AAAAAAAGAAAAAAAGCAGTGGGAGAGTTAAAAATTTTCCACATGGGACTTGGGGGATAGTCAGCTGGGAAACAGCATAGGTGGGCTGGGTGGGGGATCCAGGCGACCTTTTCCATCCATGGGCACCACGGCTGTCACGGATTTCCACCCTCATACACTCACTCAGCGATGATGCTCTTGGCCATCCATATTGGAGCCAGAAACCTGGCAGCAGGGTGATACCAGAACTCAGCTTCAGCTTTTTAGTCTCTGCTCCTGGCTCAGCCAGTCATCAAGGCCTGTCCGGTCAGGTCGTCAGGGGCCCTCAAAGTCAGCCACGCCTCTCCACCCGCCTGCCCTCCCAGGGCTCACTGCCCACCCACCGCCCAGGAAGGCTTGGGCGCAGCGGGGAGAGGATCCACACCCAGCTGCCCACCCAGAATCATTGTCCTGACCTTGTATTCTTGTCGAGTGGCCCCATGCTAGATCCCCCTTTTTGAAAACACACTTTTGATTTTACAACAGTTGGACTCACGGAAGAGCTCCAGAGGTGGTAGAGAGAGTCTCTTATACCCACACCCGGTTTCCCTGTGGTTAGATCTTACATTACTGATACACGTTTGACACAGTGAATGAACAGTATCGATGCTTTATTAGCATTCACTCACGTCCATTCTTTACTCGGACTTTATCAGCTTTTCTCCGATGCCCTTCTGTTCCAGGTCCCGTGTGGGGTTCCACATTGCATTTAGTTGTCATGTGAGGCTTCTCTTGTCTGTGATGGTTTCTCATACTTTCCTTGTTTTTGTGACCTTGATGGTGTGGGGAGTACGGGTCAGGTAGTTTGTAGAGTATCCCTCAGTTTGGGCGTGCCTTATGTTTCCTCGTGGTTAGACTAGGGTTGTAACTTTTGACGGGGAGGACCACGGAGGAAAGTACTGTTCTCGTCACATCTTACCAAAGGTCCTGTTTTAAAAAAAAATGCAGTGACAGTTGTTAAAGATGGCGAAAGACTTCATTCAGGTGAAGACTATCTTCATTGAGTGAAAGACTGTCTTCATTGAGATAGGTACAGGGACCGCTGCCATGGGATTTTGCAGATGGTGGAGGGGGTTTGGCTCCACTCCCAGTACAGCATGGGCAAGTGGGAATTTATAGCCAAGGAACAGGGTGAGGGACAGCAGGTGGAAAATCACTCAGAAGAATATCCGGGGAAAAGGGAGTTCTGGCTAAACTGAGGTAACAGGGTTCTTGCTGAAGACGGGACAGGGTGATCTGTCATTCCCGGGGCAGGGGGGCGGTATGGAGGGTGAGGACCGTGATCAGACATGGAGGGTGGTGCTGGTCAAACTGAACGGAGTTCTTGCTAAAACTAGGTTTTCTAAGGAAATGCACAGAGGGGCCAGGGAGAGGGTTCAGGAGCCCAACCGAAGTTTGGTCAAGCACAGAATCTTTGTCAGTATGGCCGTCAACATGACTTACCACCATGGATGTTCACCTTGGTCACCTGGCTGAGGCTGTTGTGTTTGACAAGTGTCTCCGCTGTCCCCTCCCAGCTCACCATAGTCTCCTTGAAAGGAAGTCGCTCTGCAGAGCTGCGCGTAAGGAGCGGGTTGTTACGTTCCACCGCCTTCAGAGTGTAGACCTGCATGAATTATCTGGAATTTTTCTGCAAGGCACTTTTTTTTACACACACTGTCTGTAATTTTCAAAAACGGTGAGGTCGATATTATCTCCCATTTTCTAGAAGTGGAAACAGAGACTCGGTGAAGTTGGCTCACCTTCCCAACGTCACCCACCTTTTCAGTGGCAGGCTGGGACTTGAACTTGGGTGTTCTTGCAGTCAGCTATTCTAAGCACTAAGTTCGCTGTCTATGCTGTTGCTTAATCATACCACTGAAGTTAATTCATCCAGAATTCACTTAGCCCCTGGGTCACTTGTGCCCTTCTCTTAGGCAGGGTAAAGCTCATGGGGGTTGCTTTGGGGGTCTCAATGGAGAGCCCATCCTTTGAAAGGGTTTCATCCAAGGACTTCAGGAACTAAATGTAATCCCAGAAGGTTGGACAGGGCTCAAACTAGATTTCAGTATGGTGCATGTTCTGGTTATGTAAGCAAGGCTGTGTGTGTTTGTCCTCTGTGTCTATCTATCTCTATTATTCCAACTCTTGATTCCAGCTCAGGTCATGATCTCACGCTTTGTGGGATTGCGTCCTGCCTTGGACTCTGCCCTGACAGCATACAGCCTGCTTGGAATTCTCTCTCTCCCTCTCTCTCTCTGCCCCTCTCCTGTTCGCTCTAAGATTCCATTTCTGGGAGAGCCAAACTGTAATTAAAAACTGTTTGGTGATGAGGACTTAGCATAGTGATTCCATTTTGGACCTATTGTCTTGTTATTTACAGAAGACAGGTTAATATCTCTATGTCCTTAGAAGCATCTTGTCCACTGTTGATTTCATTGAACAAGACCATCTGTGTTAAAGAGGGATTATTCTGATATCCTGAGAAAGCCAGTAGGGAGGCAGGATGGATTTCCTGGGTCATTGGAAGCTCAGGCCCGGATGTCAGACGGCGTCAGCCACACGTTGATTTTCCTGAGCTCAACATAACAAGCAGAACAGTTCCGTATAATGGGCTGTTTGCAGTGTGGATTTTCAAATTTTCCTCTCTCCGCCTGTTCAAAGCATTTAGGATATATTGGTGCAAAGGACATCCTGGTGCAAATCACGACAGACACGCATTTTAGAAGAAATGGCTCGGAACGAATTGCAGTTCGTTGCACTTCGACCCTGGCTAAATCTAAGTGACAGGTGCCGCAGAGCGTTCAGCTGGGTGACAAACCTGACTGAGATCAAAGGACCCTCCCGTCCCTGACAGTTTAGAGCAATTAAGCTGCTCTGGGCACCTGGCGGCTGGCATCCTACCCTCCCCGGCACCTTTGATGACAACGGAGGGCACAGTGAGTCGAAGCACGAGCTGGTAGGAAACCGTGAGTCACGGCTGGTGTGTGGCACCCGTGTGTTTCTGGCTTGTTCCCGGCAAGGTCGTGCTGTTAGTCAGTGTTTCTCTCTCAGAAAGCATCACGGTTCACCTTTCAGTTTTTGCCATGAGTTCAGGAGATGGGCTGAGGTCCGTGGTAAGCGGACAGTAATGCTTCTAGAAGAGTCCGCACCCCAATTTTTGTCGAGAGTGGGCAGCCGTGAGGCCTCACCTCCTCTGCCACATCCCAGATCTCATGCGGGGACTGTTCTAGAGTCAGCCAGGGCGGGGAGGAAGTGGCCTCATGGGTCTGGCATCTCCATGGTGCAGAGGCCTCCCTTGGGGGAGGAGGTGATACCTACGTAACCTCAGAGAGCACTGGAGTGTCCACAAGGCCCCATGGCTGCAGCCTGACTGACAGTGGGGGTTCCCCAGGAGCACGTGTGCGCTGGAAAGAATAGGGGGGTTCGGAGAGCCGGAGGCCCAGGAGATGGTGTCGCGCAGGCTCTTGCCGTCTCCAGCGTAGGTTAGCTGAGTCAGCAGGGGCCGGGGTGCAGATGGCAGCTGTGGGGAGGGTCTGCGGGTGCAGGGAAGGGTCTGGGGGTGCAGGGGCCCAGGTGAAGGGGAGGTGGAGAGAAAGCCATCTCCCACCTCCATGCGTTTGGTCCTCAAACTGTGAAATCTGAGCCCCTAGGGCAAGAGCTCTGAACAGGGGGGATTTGTCCAACGCCGGGGATATTTGGCAATATTTGGCCACATCCCCCCCGCCGCCCTCCAACCTGGCTGACTCTAGGACAGTCGCTGCATGAGATCTGGGATGTGGCAGAGGAGGTGAGGCCTCATGGCTGCCCGCTGTCAACAAAAATTCGGGTGCAGACTCTTCCAGTCTTGGTTGTCATACCTGGGCAGGAGGAGAGATGTGGATGCCCCCGGCATCTAAGGGTGGAGACCAGGGATGCTGCTAACCATCCTACAATGCCCAGGGCAGTCCTACAACAAGAATAATCTGGCCCCAAATGTCACTAGCCCCAAGCTTGGGACCCTGCCCTAGGTGACTGAAGTGGAGGGACGCAGGGTGTCATTTCACACTAGGACTTCAGTATAGCGGCGGGCATCGGGCAGCATGTTTATTTGACCCGAGAATCTCTTAATGTGGCCCTGGTAGCTGTATTTGAGGAGCTCCCCCCCTCCATTTTGGCTTTCTGGGGTTGAGCCAGGAGAATCCTGGGAATAATGCTTTTTACCTGGCATTCTCCTTATTCACCCAGATCCAAGAACTTGTGGGCTTTTGATGAGCCCCTTTGGGAATGAGCAGAAAATCGGGTCCTTTTTGGAGGTGCAAGGTGATAAAGGGGAGAATCTATATTATTTTTTTGGGGTGGGAGTGGAAAATCTGTATTCTGAAATGAATGTTCTTACCAGCTTAGGTTATGGCTGGGTCTGGGTAGCAATCTTTCCCAGTTCCCTGTCTGCCTGTTCGTGTGTGTGTGTGTGAGAGACAGGCAGACGGACAGATAGACAGACACGGCTGCGTGGTAATGGACAGTGACAGCATGAACGGGCGTATCCTATTGGTGTGATGGTGACCTTCTCTTTGGGAGCGCTGAGAAATGGCTCTGAGGTTCCTTTTTCGCTCTGCATCTGTTTGCCTTGGCATCTCCTGCTGGGAGCTGACAGCATCCGGAACCTTCCCCCGACCAGCCAGTGTCGCTGGAGGCTAGTTCAGCTCAGTTTCCACCCCCACCCCCACAGCTCACTGGCTCCCCACGCTCCCTCCTTACCAGTTTGACGGACAGCTGAGCCCTCAAGGGGGCGGGCCAAAGAGAACCAGAGTGAACCAGGCTGGCTCCCTGTGTCTTCCTGCTTACCGGACTTCATGAGAATTATTTCTTGTGTCTAAGAGGCAACCCCCACCCCCACCCCCCGCAAGCGGGCTGGCCCGGGGGGTCGACCATGGGACGTTCTCTCTCTAGGAAGAATGCTTCACTGGGGTGCACACTCCTTGTGGAAGGTGGTCAGTAAACGTGTGTAATTCTCTTTGCAGGACATGCCACCATCACCAACTACTTGTTGAACTATTTTCCCGGCCTTGACCTTGAAAGGAGGAACGTGTTTGGGTTCACGGCCCTGATGAAAGCCGCCATGCAGGGCCGGACGGAATGCATCCGAGCCCTGATGTTGGCAGGTATGTCTCTACCTGCCCTGTGCGGTCCCAGGGGTCTCGGGAAGTGCTGATTTTGGCCCTTGAAAGAATGTGTATTGACGGGGCACCTGGGTGGCTCAGTCGGTTAAGTGTCCGACTCTTCCTTCGCTCAGGTAATGATCTCATGGGTTCGTGAGTTTAAGCCCCACGTCAGGCTCTGTGCTGACAGATTCACTGTCTCTCCCTCTTTCTCTGGCCCTCCCCTGCTTGTGTTTCTCCCTCTCTCTCTCTCTCTCTCAAAATAAATAAGCTTATATAAAAAAAGAATATGTATCGAGAGGAATCAGTTCCATAGAGACTAAGCCTAGCAGATGTAGCGAAGAATGGTTTCTTTGAGGTGTGCAGCCGTTATCCTCTGAGTTGAAACAAACAAAAAGGAAAGCAAAGCCCTCAGGGTGGGGCGGGAGGTCACAGCACTTGTCACCCCATAGCAAACCCCTCCCTGCTCCCTGATGAGCTGTCCTTCACCCTTAGCTCCTTCCTGCCCATATTTGTTCGTCTTTGTTTGTTTTATTTATTTTGAGAGAGGGTGGGGAGGGGCAGAGCCAGAAGGAAAGAGAATCCCCAGCAGGCTCTGTATGGTCAGTGCAGAGCCCGATGCGGGGCTCGAACTGCCGAACCATGAGATCATGACCTGAGCTGAAATCAAGAGTCAGACGCTTAATGGACTGACTTTTTTTTTTTTTCAAGTTAAGTTTTTTATTGGAATAATTTAGATGAATGGAGAGTGACAAAGATAGTACAGAGTCCCACCTGGTCCTCACTTGTTTCCTGCACATTAACGTCTTACTGGGGGGCCAACGTTGGTTCATGACTTTTAGCTAAACCCCAGACTTTATTCAGATTCCACCCGTTCTCTCATTGCTGTCCCCCTTCTGTTCCAGGATCCCATCCAGGCTCCCACATGTAACTGCCACGTGTCCCCAGTGTCCTGTGGTCGGTGACAGTTTCTCAGTCTTATCTCCCTGCTCATGACCTGCCTGGCCCCAAACTGGCCCGTATGGTGTCCTCGGCCTGTCATTTTCCTTGTGATTGGATTGGGGTTATACAAGTCACAGCTTCTTTGGATTTTTTTTTTTTTCTCCTGCTTTACCCTGAGGGTTTAGGAGAAACTGGAGGAAAAATAAATCCTGTAAGTGATGGCAGGCTTCGAAGAGGAAAACTTTCATGGAAATAAAAAAGATCATAATTAGAATTAGTCCCATTGATTGTGCTTTTGACTCTGACAGTTTCGTTTTTGAAAGGCGAGATATAGCAGTTTCAGACGAGTTTAGGCCTTGCCTGTCCTATAGCAGCAAAGAGACGCTTCCTCCTAATTAACTGGTGTTTGTGATGCTCTTGTATTTGGGGGAGGCTTCGTCTGCTTTTACTGCTTCTGGAGCTTAGTTATAATTGAGTGTAGGTTTTTAGTAATTTCCTTTTCTACCCAAGCATTTATGGTGTTAATCACATCACTTCATTTTTCCTGATGAATTAATTTGAATTACAGGCCCTTTTGTTCTTAGGTCAATTGCCTTGCCATCACTCCGGAAAATGCCCAGGTGTTGGCTGTCATTCGGCTTTTTTTCTGGGTCTGATGGAAGTTTCAGGCGTTCGCTAAGCATTTACAGGATTGCAGAAATGCCTCTGGGGCCTCTTGAGGGATGGGCCTGCTTCAGGGCAGCGCGTCCAGGGCCTCGGTTATGGATAATGAATTTGGCATTAGGTTTCATGGCGTTAGGTTTCCTCCCCCTTGCCTGTGCCCTCCTCCTGGGCCCTGTGCATTGGAGTCCAGCACGGTTCTCACGGGTGCAGACCTGTGGTCCACCCACCCTGAACTGTTCCTTGTCCGAGCAGAATGGTCAGCAGAACTGACTTGGAAGCCAAGACCCCTGGTTCTTGATTCCAGTCCCTTCGTTTATCGTCTCTACACCTGGGCCAGTCACCTAACGCCCTGGGCCTCTGCTGGGACGGGAGGTGAACGACTGTAGGAAGTCGTAATGGGGACTGAATGAACTCCCATGTGGAAAGCCCTTGGGTGTATGTCCAGCGTGGAGGAAGCCTCTGGTCAATGGCGGTTGTTATTATTATTGTTACTTGTGAATTCATGTGCTCAGTAATTGTTTGTCACATGAATGACAAGCAGTGGTATATTTTTCCCCCTTGAAAAATATCCCTGTGGTGAAATACTTAAACATTCCTGCCGAGGGTCGTGGGCACATAGCTCGCAGCTTCTGAATCTTTTTACTGCTGTCATTTGGTGCTGGATAATTCTTTGTGGTGGTGGGGGGTGGGGGGCATCCCCGGAACTGTAGGATATTCAGCACTTGCCCTGGCCTCTCCCCACCAGGTGATGCTAGCACCCTCCCAGTCAACCAAAAATGTCTCCAGACATTGCTAAAAGTCCCCTGGGCGTGTAAAACAGCCTCTTGTTGAGAAACAGTGATGTCAGTAATTTAAAGGGGAAAGGACAGAAAAAAAGAAGAGAATCTTTTCCTTCTTATACGCATTCCTCCTTCCAGCTTGTTCTATAGTCCTTCTTAAAATAAAAATCTGACAGCTCTTCGGAGGGGTTTCTGAACTGCCCTCTAAGGTTTTGGTGTTTCACTTCTCGAAGATCTTAATTTTCTACTATTACCTCTGAGGTGGCTCACACTTCTTTTCCCCAGGAAAATGTGTTACACTTTCCTTTTACAGTAGATGTACGCGTGTGTTTTAAAAGAAGAAAAAGTGGGGCGCCTGGGTGGCGCAGTCGGTTAAGCGTCCGACTTCAGCCAGGTCACGATCTCGCGGTCCATGAGTTCGAGCCCCGCGTCGGGCTCTGGGCTGATGGCTCAGAGCCTGGAGCCTGTTTCCGATTCTGTGTCTCCCTCTCTCTCTGCCCCTCCCCCGTTCGTGCTCTGTCTCTCCCTGTCCCAAAAATAAATAAACGTTGAAAAAAAAAAATTAAAAAAAAAAAAAAAAAAAAAGAAGAAAAAGTGAGGAACACCTGGGTGGCTCAGTCAGTTGAGCATTTGACTCTTGGTTTCAGCTCAGGTCCCGATCTCACTCTTTGTGGGTTTCAGCCCCGCATTGGGCTCTGCACTGACAGTGAGGAGCCTGCTTGGGATTCTGTCTCTCTCTCCCTCTCTTTCTGCACCTCTCTCTCAAAATAAATAAACTTTTTTAAAAAAAAGGAGAAAAAAGGGCGCCTGGGTGGCTCAGTAGGTTGAGTGTCCAACTTCGGCTCAGGTCACGATCTCACGGCTCGTGAGTTCGAGCCCCGCGTCGGGCTCTGTGCTGACGGCTCAGAGCCTGGAGCCTGCTTCTGATTCTGTGCTTCCCTGTCTCTCTGCCCCAACCCACTCGCATTCTGTCTCTGTCTCCCTCAAAAATAAATAAACGTCAAAAAAGATTTTTTTAAAGAAAGAAAAAAAATGTGTGATCGAATGTCTTTCCTGGGTTGGATGGAGAGCAATGAGGATACTTGTTGGGATGCCTAAAAATTTGCACAGGTAGTTTTAAGTCTTCTTTCCGTTTAATATGTCAATATTAAGAAAGCCTTTAAAGATACTAACGCATGAGTGTTTCTTGGGATTGACACTTGAACACAGAGCGTGTTTAGTGTAGCTGTGGAAAGTCCCTGGAGAGATAATCCGTGGTCATCATGTGATCATTTCAAAAGCAAAAGGCACGCGCACTGTTATGCGGTAATGGGTAGAAATGCATATATCATCCCTCTTGTTCCAAGTGCAGGCTTTCTCCGGCACCTGAGTTGAATTTCCCAGTTGCAATTTCATTATATTCAGTAGGAAGCGTCTCCTTTGAGAAATGATGGATCATCGAATTGGATGCCCTGCCAGCACTGTTTAGATTTCCCAGTAGTTCATAACATACAGACACACGTCAGCTCTTATCTTACCTCGTCAGGCAGAACGAAATAACGTGGGAATTATCAAAACTTTGGATTTTATTAAAGATGTAAACAGGGTCTGGGAAGCTGATTTATTGGCTCTTTGGTTTTCGGCTTCCCCAGGACTAGCGTCAGCTCTGCTGATAAGAATCCCAAGTGGGGCTGTGGATTCTCGTTAATTCAGTGGAATATTAATGCCCCGAAGTGACAGGTCTCTTTAAATAAGTGGCCCTGAGAAGCCATAATGAGGATGCGACTTTCTCTGAAGAGAAGCAGAACTCAGTGGAGGTTGGCAAACTCTAGACGTGCTTAGGCTTTTTTTTACCTGAAGCGTGGTGTGATTTCTGTGGCATTCGGCCTTCGGGAAGCGGAAACAGGCAAACCCCTTCACGCGTCTGTGATCCCCAGCAACGACGCAGACATCCGGGAAGGTGTAGGAGGCTTGCTTAACGAGGGCCACTCTCCTCGTTGGTCCTATGGTCATTCGTGTCCTAGGCGAGCCCCGACTGTGTGTGCTTCTGCAAAGCCAAGTGATACAACATCACAGCAGAGGTTTCTTTATTGTTTATAAGGATAACAGGAATCTCTTGTGAGCTGAGAATTTGCCAAGTTGGATGATTTCAGATTAATTTGTAGAGAAAGGGCTAAAAATCAGGCATTCCATGTCACCACAGACAGTGTCTTAGCTTGGGCGCTTAGCTTGACGCAAAAGGAAACCTTGAGACAGGACGTGGGGACAACCAGTTTCTCTGGAAGGTGAGGGAGCCGGGTGAAGGATAGAAAGGGGAGACCCTGTGGGCAACTGGGACTCAGCCCTGCTGAGACTCCCTGAAGGACCAAGTACAAGGTATCTCAGAAATGCCTTTGGGGTGGGGCAGGCTAGAAGGAGGTGCCCCATCCCCCACCCACCAGATCAGGGCTCTTTCCTGAGACCCTGTGTCCTGACTGATCGTATTGATTGATCCCCAAGATACAAGCCGGGATGGCACATGGGAGGAAAGCTGCAGGAGCTGGTCCACAGGCTCCTGTGTCAGGAGAAAGGCCTCTTGCTGGGAGGGGACCAGAGACGGGCTTAGAAGGGTAGGTAATGTTGGGGGGCTGGCAGAGAATTTGGAAAGGAAGTGATGTGCCCAGGCTCTGTCTGCCTTCTAGTCTGGCCATGACTGCTGGGGGGACGGTATCTGAGAATGAATGACGGAAGGTAGCTTCTTTTCCTTTGGCACCTGTTTGGGATGCTTTCTGCTTCCAGGAACAGACATCCTGACTTGATGGGGGCTGAAAGCAAACAAGCCTCTGTTCCCCCCCCCCC